ACGTTATTCACGTAGCTGAAGTTGCGTACCTTAGTTCGATTTGGGGGGTTAGTGTAGACCAAGCCTTAGTTGATATAGTTTCAAACCCCACCCCACTTCTCTCAGTTTTGAGGGTTATTTTTGTAGGAGAAATAATTTTCTAATCCAAAAATTGTTTGCTATACATTCTCTCAATCATATCCATCTCAAAGAAAATGAGAGCAAATACTATGCTGTATTAATCTTTCCCTGTAATACCAGACCTCTTTTAGCTATAACACCTTAGCAGTTCCCAACATTTGTTTTTTGGCAGTGGACTTTATGCTGGAAAATTTTTATTTGTCCATCATCAAAGATGAAAGTATTTTTTTAATTTCTTTAAGTCAAAGTGAAAATAGAATGTGGGTACTAATATCAAAGCTAAGTAAATTGATATCTCAAACTGTGTGTACTTTATTGATGCACACAGTAAAGATCATGAGCATGAGATGACTCAAAAGCATTGTGGATAAACATTTTTTGATTTATATTAAAATATGTAAATAGTTATTTTATCTGAAACCTGCTGTGTAAATTATGCATTTTTTCATGATTCGGGCTTTGGCTTTAAGTGACTAGTGATCCATTCTTACCTCTCACCTCCCCAAATTAAAACATTTCAAACCCATGTACTGAAGACTCTATTATTCTTTATTTAGGAAGGGGCAAAGGAGTTTGCAGCTGCTCTGACTGCTGAGCGAATAAAGACACCACCAAAGCGCCCAGGTGGCCGCCGAAGAGGAAGACTTCCAAATAACACCAGCAGGCCCAGCACACCAACAATAAATGTGTTGGAATCAAAGGACACAGATAGTGACAGGGAAGCAGGAGCAGAAACTGGAGGTGAAAATAATGATAAAGAGGAAGAAGAGAAGAAAGATGAAACATCCAGTTCCTCTGGTGAGGCCAATCAATGCTTTAATAAGAAATGGATTGTATGGAGGGGTCTCAAACCATAATTAAGCAACCTTAGAAGCCACATATTTTTGGATGTATTTGGACTTTTAATTTAATTAGAAGATATGGGATAGTATCTTTATCACAGAGAGCCTTATAATGAAAGTTCAGAATAACTTCATTTGTTCGGCACTGTCTCCTGAATACTTTCAGAAGCTAGACTGTGCTACTGTGCTAGACTGTGAATTCTGCCCACTGTCTGATTATAGCTTTTGTCTGTAGATGTGTAAAAACTTCTGTATGTGGTGTCTTCTCACTAAAAAAACCAGGACTTTGTTCTGTTACAGTTCACACATAACTTGATGTTTTTAAGTGTCATGGAAACTTAAATTGTGAGGGAAGCCTCAACCTGATTGATGCTCTTGATGTTGCAGAGGCAAATTCTAGGTGTCAGACACCAATAAAGATGAAGCCAAATATTGAGCCTCCTGAGAATGTGGAATGGAGTGGTGCAGAAGCCTCGATGTTCAGAGTTCTCATTGGTACCTACTATGACAACTTCTGTGCAATTGCTAGATTAATTGGGACCAAAACATGCAGGCAGGTAAGAAGTGAAAATTGCTTATTTAGGTGGCAGCATGCTATTTTCAAAACTGGATAGAAAATGTATGTTAATACTCATTCTTATAAGAGAATTTATTAACCAACTTGGTTTTCCTGAGAACCCTGTCTTCTCTGATTTTTAAAAATTTGTACAATTAATTTTAGTGATTTCAATGTATCATACAATTTAAAATACACAGCTATTTTTATTTGATCATTTAAGATCAAATAAGATAAAATAAGAAATATATCTATAAAGGGAAGAAATGTTGTGGCTTGTTATAATTTGTAAGGTGTTGGAGGAAATCATTCTAACATAATAGAAAGCTTCATTTTCTATAAGTGAGATATATGTTATGGTATCTCTTGCTAGGTGTATGAGTTTAGAGTAAAAGAATCTAGTATTATTGCTCCAGTTCCTGCTGAAGATGTTGATACTCCTCCAAGAAAGAAGAAGAGGAAGCACAGGTAAATCTGTTAATAAATAACCTTAGAAGCTAAACATGATAACCCATAGGACAGGGGTTCTCAACCTTTTTTCTTTCTGAGCTCCCCCAACATGCTATAAAAACTCCACGGCCCACTTGTGCCAGAACTGTTTTTATGCACATAAAAGCCAGGACCAGTGTTAAGGGGTAGCAATGAGGACAACTGTCTGGGGCCCCATGCAGCTAAGTTGCTCAGGCTTCAGCTTCAGCTGTTGGCTCGGGGTCCCAGGCTTCAGCCTCATGAGGTGGGGCTTTGGCTTTCTGCCCTGGGACCCAGCAAGTCTAATGCCAGCCCTGTTTGGCAGACCCCCTGAAACCTGCTCCCAAGGGGGCCCCGGACCCCTGGTTGAGAACCACTGCCAAAGGAGACTTATTGAACCAGCAGTACACAAGTAAGGTCTTTGAAAGAAAAAGCTGTTTATTTATTCTCCTTATTCCTTTGCTTTCAAAGAACATAAATGAAACAAAATTGACCAATTTCTCAAAAACAAAAAAAAACAAAAAACAAAACCCAAACTGTTCTACCTTTATAAATAGTCAAGTTCTTCACAGGTGCTTATAGGCTTATTGCAACAAGTAAGTTCAAGTTAGGGTTAGATTCACATTATCCCGGACGAATGTTATAATAATCAAAAATACATTAGTGTAGAATAGGTTAGGTTTTGTTGAATTAAGAAAGAAAAAAAAATTTTTTTGGCAACATTCCAAAAAAAAAAAAAATTGATTCCTTGAGGGTTTTTTAGAAATAACACTTCAATAACGAAGTCATGTGACTATAATATGTCATTTCCCAATAGTCTGAATCAGTAGTGAACAGAAGATATTCTGCAAATTAGTATGCAGATTTTGTCCATATGGTAAAATGTAATGCTTCAAACAAGCAATAACCTGTAATATGCTGGAAAAGTAACACACACATCCTCCCTTTAAAAAACAAAACAATTCTTGATCACCTACATAGACTCAGACATTCCGGCTTATTTACCAGCTAGATACTTAGTTAAAGAACCATGCTAGGAGGCTACTAAAGTTCCAGTACAAGACAAAGGTCATATGGCAACTTATCTACGTTTATTGATATAAGTGATAAGGAAAGCTGTTATAAGGCACTTTCTGAGGATATAAAAAGCCCATCCAAAATTAACTTTCTAAACGTTTTTTAAAATGCCCCTCTTCCTCCTCCTCCCCCCCCCCCGTTTCATGTCTATCTACTTTGCAACATCTGAACACTTTTGATAGTGACAATTTCTTAACTAAAAATCTGGGGTCCAACAGAAACCCAAGCATGGGACAATTCTGTGTGTGTTCTGGTGAATGTTTTTATTCCTAGAAGGGTGAGAGGCGGGAAAAAAGGAAGAGAGAATCCTCAGTAGCCAAGAGATCTTCGAAAAACTTCTTTCTATTTTTCCCAAATAGCTGCCTGTTTCTCCCCTCCCCCTACTTTTTCCAGCAATTAATCCCCGATACTTTCCTGGCTCCTCTCTACCTGTTTCATAGTCTTCTTGCTCAAGGAGGGCCTTCCATTGATCTTAGTGCAGAAGCTTCAACAGCGATAAAATGAACTGGCTGCTTGTAGTGTAGAGAGACAATCAAACCAGGGTAGAAAAGGGGGTCAGTGAGCAGCTGGAAGCGGTCCTGCTCTGTTCAGATCACAATAGTACCATTGCTCCCTCTGCTTCATAGCTCTCAACTGTCCTGAGGCATTTGGTGGGCAAGATTTTCAAAATCTGAAATTGTCCAGCCAAACTGGACAGTTGGCAGCTCTGTCTAGGAATGTTGTTAACTTTGAATTCTGTTTTTCTCTGTTCTGGTTCATTGGGTGGGGAAGTGCTATACACCAATGTGTTCTTTCTGACTGGTTGCCAATGTGTCAGTGATAAGTGATTTCAGGGGGTCTTTACTGCTTTTACAACATCTCATTGGATTTTGCATTTTACTATGTCGGCTCAAAGGTTAATGGGTTACTTTTCCTCCTATGTAAGAAGCATCTTGAGTAAAACAAAATATTATTGTCAACACTTGTTCATGATGGTTTTCTTGTTTCTCTGCCTCCTTGGGAGAGATGCAGCTAGAGGTTTACAAGTGGCTGAAACCCTGTGAATGAAGAGGTAGAAAGTGTTCTTTATGTTGTTTCCAGTCTAAATCTACTGTACTGGAGCCAGGCTGCTTAAATTGTGTTGAACAACCTGTCTCTGACTCTCCTAATTTTGGGACATGGCTTCCATTGCAGGCTCTCCAGAGCCTGCTGCACGCTCCAGTTCCTTTCTGCCAGAAGACAGCAGAGAGCCTGAAGAACAATTCATAGTGGCTTCCTACGTTCACTGGCACCATCCTTCCGAAGGAGAACTCCATTCGTAGAGGAGAAAAAGCAGCAGCAGCAGGCTCAGTTAAGAGCCTTTGTAACATCTTTCCTACCTGACTTTTTTCATTAAGCTTTCTGTTCAGTCTGGGTGGCCCCTCTATCAATATGCTGAAGCCATCTTGCAAGCCAAACTGCTACTATTTACTCCACATGAGCACTACCAAATTTAACTTCCTGCAGCATCGGGTTCCCACACCATCTTAGCATGCCAGTCTGCTCAAAGAATGGAAAGCCTAGTAGGAGATACAGCCTGCTCATTGCTGAGAGCAGTTTCCTTCTCTCCTTACTATGCCAAAGTCTTTTAGATTCCTGATAATGCTGTGCTAAAGAGAGATGAAAACTTTCTTTTTTACACCTCTGTTGTAGGAGCCTAATAACTTCAGTTGTCCTGAGGTGTCTTTTTATGTACCATCTCTGCAGCCCAACAGTTTGTAAAAGGTATTCTTCCTAATTAAACCGAGAAGACAGCTCTGTATAAGAGACAACCAGTTTAACAACTTAAATAAAGAACAATTCCACCAACTCAAAAGAATGTGACCATACACTGAGATGAGAAGAAATTGGTACTTTAGTCATTCATTCTGACATGTTTACATGCATATCTAGTTGATATGAATGAAATAGTCAGTCTCCCTCTGATCTCACTGGATTAATAATGATCAGCTGTAATGAGTTGTTTTCCCTCATTAAATAGGACCTGACTTGATTTCTTAGACTAAACTTAAGTGAAGAAATATTTTTGATGATTTTCTATCCAGATAGATTTCATTTGAATTCTTCTTTCTGTCCTTATTCTTCAGGGATTGGTTCTTCATTGCACCTAGCTATAGCTTTTCCATATTATTCTGCCCAGGATACTGAGTATCTTGGCCAAAGTATCATCGTGGCCTGGCAAGCAGTGTGGCTGATGTCTTGACCCAAATTACTTGCATTCCCCTGTAAAAGGCTGCATCTTTAGAGCGAGTCTAGACACGGCATCTTTAAGGAGTCTAATGAGAACAAAAGCAGAAAAGCCAAAACCTGCTTTTCCAACCGATCTAACTGCATATATCAGTTGATTTTCATTTCTAAACTCAAGAGACCGATTCAGTGTTGTCCTCATGCCTTTAGTATGGATAGATTTTAGCAGTTTCCCCAGAAGTGTCTATAGCTGCTATCCAGTTGATGTCAGCATCTTCTGGATTTTTAGCCTGAAAGGTCAACATATTTGACAAACAATTTCAGTAATCAGAAGTGAACATAATCCAGAAGCATTCAGTTATTAAATGCACAGGCAGGCAGGAACCAGATGTAGAGATCAGTTTGTCTCCCACTTCGTTGGAGATCAGCCATCAGTAATTGGCCTATTGTTCCTGATACCTGGATTTAGGAATAAAACTTGTGAATGCTTTCTCGCCTTCTAACATGTATTTATATACTGAAATTGCTCTTGCCTGGAAGATTCTCCAAGTACCACTTCTTGGTAAGCCTACCTCATCTGGCTTGATGTTTGCAACACCTCCTGACTATTACTGGGGAGAATGGGAGAAGTGGCATGTACAGTAAGAGGAAATTACTCACTAGTAATTGTCTGTCATGGTCCAGTATTTATTCCATCCTACATCCCTTGGGAAACATCACTTGAAGTTCCTCTATTTTATACTATCCTACTACTACTTTGCTGTGGAAATATCCCACTTGACACTTTTGCCTCTTTGCTTCCTGGTAGTTGAAAATACAACATTGTCTTGTGTTGCTGAGTAAGATGGGAGAAGAGATAACAAATAGAATTACTGGTGAGAAATCTCTCACCCCTACCACTTGTCCTATCCCCAGTATGTCACTCGTTGAGGCCATTAAAGGAAAGGTGCAGTGCTTCCAGGCAACCTTCCACCTCTTAGTCATTCAGTTTCTGAAAGCCACCATGCTAATCTTAGGATTTATGTTGCCACCCATCACCAGTATCAAAGAGCACTAGTCAGACCTCTAGTTATCCCAGTTGGCCCATGTTGAAGCAGTCACTTGGTCCCTAATGTCATCTTTAATTCCCCCCCTGAACTCATGATCACAATATACCTTTAATCCTTTACTCTCAAAGTACTGTTTTGGTGGCCCTAGTCTCCTTCAGAAGAGTCAGTGAGCTGGCATAATTCATCACAACTTCCATATCTAATTTTCTACCACGTAAAGTTATTTTGGTTCTGATCTTCTTGGCCAAAGTGTTAATCTTTCATTTTAATCCATCATTTTAATCCTCCTTGCCAAATCTAATGCACCCTTAGAAAGGAGGTGGCACACCTTGGACCTCTGCAGGACATTAGTACCGTATATACTCGTTCATAAGCTGAATATTTTAGGTAAAAAAGTGACTCATCAAAGAGTGGGGGTCGGCTTATAAATGGGTTTACACCAAAATTTGATGATTTTAAACTCTATGGAATCATTGAATTGAATATCTAATACATTGTTTACTTGGAGTGTCTGCAGGCACGGAGCCCCTCGGCTCCTTGTGGCTGCGGTTCGCCATTCCCAGCCAATGGGAGCTGTGTGAAGTGGCGCACTCCCATTGGCTAGGAACGGCAAACCGCGGACACTAGGAGCCGAGGGGCTCTTGCCTGCAGATGCTCTAAGTAAACAAAACGTCCAGGCCCGCTAGCGGCTTACCCTAAGGGGCCAGGAGCCAAAGTTTGCCAACCCCTGAAATATAGGATCAGCTTATGAAAGAGTTATATAGTTTTTGCTATTTTTACCTATCCATCTTGGGGAGTCGGCTTATAAACTAACAGGCTCATGAACGAGTATATACGGTATGTTACTTTGTTAGAATTGGAGAAGTACTTAATTCACAGACACTTGATAATGAACAAAGGTCTGATTCAAGAGTCTTATCTATGAAAATCTTTCATTACCGGTAGGGAATTTGGCATACTACTAATCCATATTGTCATCTTGGGCCAAAAGAAGGAAAGCGTCTGTGGTGGAAGTATTGTTCAGCTTGTAGTCTTTTCTACTTTTAACTATTCTGGAGTGTTTGGCGAATGTAACTTAATCATGTGAGGTATATTAAATGTTCTGACTTGAAATCTTATTTCTCCCTTCCAGTAGTTGGGAAGCAGAGTTCTAGAGAGGTTCTATGTGTCTTAATTGAAGTAATACAGTGCAGAAATAGAAATTTTTACCTGTTTATATCCTTTTACTTCAGTATTATACCCGCTTGGAGTGACCTACCTTGAAAAGGAATTAAATCAGTTTTGTATAACTTTTTTTTTTTTTTGTAAGAAAAGTTATAAATCTGAAGAAATTAAGAACCTGTACTCAGAGTCTCATAGTTACCTTGACAAGAGTCTACTTAATTGGATGGCGAACAGGTTAACGCATATTTAATGTAAGCTAGCTGTGTGGAGAATCATGTTGCGTTTGGTAAAGCTGTTGGGTACACAGGAGGAAAAAACAGTAATCCGTCAGAATCAAAATTGACATAATGCTGTGCAGAAAGGAAATAGGTAGAAATTCCTATTTGGTTAAACATATATTTAAGTGTATTTAAGCTTTGAAAGAAGAACTTCTGGGTGTTTGTAGTCATTGGAAAGAAATGCAGATTCATGGTTCTGTTCCTTAAACATTTGAATCTACCATGAGAATTTCTCACTACGCACAACACTCTGCATTACGTGGACCAGTTACAATAATTAACTCGCTCTAGAAATGGAGATCTATACAGAAGCAAATTGACAGTCCGTCCCCTAGTCACAAATAGAAATTTAATGTCGGTATTTAAACGTATGAATTAATTCCCTGGGAATATAAATTTAGGAAATCCTGGCTGCACATGATTTAACTTTATTATGTTGAAACTTGGTAGTTCAACTAGTTTTAACTGCTAAAGAAACAATATATTGGAACTACAGCTTTAAAGCAAAATTAAAAACACTGGTTTCTAACATAATTTTTAGTAGATTGTAAATCGCCTCAAGCACATTGATGTCACCAGATTTTAGCAGTAAACTGGGCTAGTGTGGAGGTTCTCCTGTAAAACTTCGATGTAGACGGTTTAGGAATTCTTGTTACAGAAGACTTTCCCAGTTAAATGATGTAGGTACCTAGAACTGCAGCTACATTCCCCAGCCCAGTACAGGAGGAGTTCCTGTCAACCTTCTTGTGTTTGTTTTGTGTTTTTGCAGGTTGTGGGCCGCTCATTGCAGAAAGATACAGCTGAAAAAGGGTTAGCATCTTTCCATTCAACTTTATGTCCTGAATTTTTAAGATCCTACTAATGTTTTCTGAATGATGTTAGGCCATTTTATACTTTTCATGGGGAGTCGGGGCTCACAAGGAGACTGAAGAATAGTAACCATACATTACTGATCTAGCAGGGACAGAGGATATTCCACATTGTTTATGCAGCTGTTCAGAAAAAACTTTGCATATTTTAAAAGAAAATAAAACTAAATAGGAAGGAGGCAATGAATTCATAACACTTTAGGCAGGCCTTGTTATAGTGCAAATAACACAGCACAACTCTTATTGTGATGAGCTGCATTTGTGTGTGTTTTTTATTTTGAAAGATGCTCTAGAAATTTGTGGGGATGGGAGAGACTTTGATTAAAGAATAATCTTCTGTTCAGAGGTGGACTTTTTTTTTTTTTTGCCGCTTGGTTGTTAACTGAAACATCTGAAGAAGTGAGGTTCTTACCCACGAAAGCTTATGCTCCCAGTACTTCTGTTAGTCTCAAAGGTGCCACAGGACCCTCTGTTGCTTTTTACAGATTCAGACTAACACGGCTACCCCTCTGATACTTGAAACAGATATAATATTATACAACTACACCTAAACCAGCATAAGTGCTAGTGGATTGAAGACAGATATTAATTTATATATCACCCAAAGTCTATTAGCTGCTCTACAGATAAAGCGAAAGACAAGATTCCGGCCTTCAAGAGCCAAGGGCTTATCACAGGAAATTGACCAGCAGAAATATAGCGGTATAATTGTATGGGTATTGCTAAGCAGTATAATTCCTCTTGTGGAATAAAAATGACCTTAGTTTAGATCAGTGGGGGCAGCCTGTGGGCCACACATGGCCCATCAAGGTAATCCGCTGGCAGACTGCCCAACAGTTTGCTTACATTTGCATGGCTGCCCGCAGCTCCCAGTGGCCAGTTTGCTGTTCCTGGCCAATGGAAGCTGCGGGAAGCGGCAGCCAACACATCCCTGTGGCCCGCGCCACTTCCTGCAGCTCCCAGTGGCTGGGAACGGTGAACTGTGGCCACTAGGAGCTGTGGGCGGCTGTGCAAATGTAAACAAACTGTCTGGTGGCTCGCCAGCAGATTACCCTGATGGGCTGCATGTGGCCCACAGGTTGCCCACATACAGAGCTACAGTTTTCACAGGTGCCGGCTTCTAATTTTCCATGGGGGCGCTCAACCCCTGCTCCGCCCCAGGCCCCACCTCTTCACCCCTTGCTCCATCCTTACTCAGCTCTTTCCGCCCATGAGCGTGCCCCGTCCCCGCTCCTCCCCCTCCCAACTCCTCCTGCATGCTGCTGAACAGCTGTTCCAAGGCATCCCAGGGGTGCTGGGAGGGAGGGGGGGTGTTGATCGGTGGGGGGCTGCTGGTAGGCAGGAGTAGGGGGAGGAAGAGGAGCTTGGCTGCTGGTGGGTGCTAAGCACCTGCTAATTTTTTTTCTGTGGTTGCTCCACCCCTGGAGCATCCATGCAGTCGGTGCCTATGCTAGTAATATTATACAGCTATAGTTCTGCTCCTCAATTCCCATTGTAGACAAGCTCTTAAGTTCTAAATACACTACAGGTTAGTAATATGAGGGGTGAGATGCAACAGCAAGCAAGCTACGCAGTAATTAAGTTAACATGCATCTTGTTAATGCCACAATTTTTGTTTCGTGTACTTTTCTATAATTAATACTTTGAGAAGAGTAGGTTTGATAGGCCTCTTTTGTTTTAAGTGAATTTTAAGACGGGATTTCCCATTTGAAATTTTTGGTTAAACAAAGTTAAAGTTCTTTCATTCTTAATCTTTTCAAATTATTACTATTTTTATTCAGATGGGTCATCTAATCATGTTTACAACTACCAGCCATGTGATCATCCTCGTCAGCCTTGTGACAGCTCATGTCCTTGTGTAATTGCTCAGAACTTTTGTGAGAAGTTTTGTCAGTGCAGCTCAGAATGTAAGTAATTTTGGAAGGCATCTGCAATTGAGTGTCTTTTTGTAGACTAGTTTCATTTGTAGACACAAATTTACTGCTGATATTAAATAAAAGGCCTACAAAGGGCAAAAAAAATGGGCTTGTACCATTTTTTGCTGTTTTTTGACATTTAAAGAAGGCCTGGAAAGTTTTCAGAGAGGTTTTTTTCCTTTCTCTCGTGGTCCC